AAATCTGGATGAAGGAGACAAGCAGTGGTTTTTATTTTGTATCACAAGGGAGATTGCATATTACCATTTTTTACAATTTTGAGGGGTGCAATGATGAAAGTCATCTCGCTACCATATCTGAAATTGATAGCCCATTTGTGGAACAATGTCCAACTTCTTCGCGAGTTTCAGTCTCAGTCATAGCTGTCTCAATGAAAAATGCTGGTTGCTTGGGGACGGATAGTTGTAGGCTATCATTTGTGAGCATCAGAACCACATTTGACATGGATGGCCTGTCCATAGGATTGACTTGAACACAGAGTAATCCTACATGAATGCATCTCATCACTTCATTCGTTGGTGTTGATTCATTTGTCAATACAGGATCTGTTAGTTCTTCAAGGACGCTGCCTGCTTTCCACAATTCCCATGCCTGAGACAAATTGAGCATATCAAGTTTGAAATTTCCTTGTTCAACTAAGTGATCATGCCAGGGTGGATCCAAAACAATGTAAAGTTGACAGGTTGAACTTTAAAGTTTTTAGAACTAGACTCATTATACTTCAGAATTTTATAATTCAAGTGATTTTCACATGTATATCAATGTTTCGTGTCTTGAGTCGAGGGTCTATTGAAAACAGCCTAGCCTTTACTAGGTAGGTAAGTCTGTGTGCACACCGCCCTCCCAGACCCAACTTGTGGCTTGTGGGATTCCAATGGGTATGTTGATGTTGTATATTTATGTTTCGTTTCTAAAGTATTGGGTTTAGTTGAACTCATTGAATAAACACTCCATCCGCCTCTTGATCATGCTATATTGATATTTTACGAGAGGAACTTACATATCCGATGAGGTTTAGTGGGCGTTCTAAATGATAGCAGCTGTTGTTTCTTTTGCCACTCAATCTCGAGTACTAGAACTCCAAAACTGAATACATCTGTCTTCATGGACACAATGCCATTCATGGCATATTCTGGAGACATATAACCACTGAAAAGGTAGCAACTTAGCACATAATAAAAAGGACACAGTGAATCACCATTGTTAGATAATTATATCTATTAAGGACTTACTAGGTACCAACAATTCGCTCCGTGTTTGCTTCAAATTCTTGCATTCCAAATATCCTGGCCAAACCAAAATCTGAGATTTTGGGGTTCATATTGTCATCAAGCAAGACATTGCTGGCTTTTAGATCTCTATGAATCACCCTCAACCTCGAATACTTATGGAGATAAAGTAGTCCCTGAGCAACTCCTTCAATAATGTTCAAACGCGTATTCCATTTTAGTGAATCTTTTCTGCTAGGATCTATTCAATCAAAATGGGAAGGGGTATTAGTTATCAAATATGATTAATTAAGCAATTTAGGCATGAAATTGGAAATCCATACCAAATAGGAAGAAGTCTAAGCTTTTGTTCATCATGTATTCATAAACTAATATCTTCTCTTCCCCTTCAATGCAACATCCTAAAAGCCTAACAAGATTAGTGTGCTGGAGTTTAGCAATCAGCACAATTTCGTTTTGAAACTCAACCAATCCTTGCCCTGAACTTCTTGAAAGTCTCTTGATGGCTATCTCTTGTCCGTCGAGCAACATCCCCTGAAATTTTTGCTACTTGCAAATCTAAAAATCAGCTTAAGACAAAAAGCTTCTAAACTTTTACCTTATAAACAGGTCCATAACCGCCCTGTCCCAACTTATTAGAAGACGAGAAATTGTTTGTGGCCATATTCATAGTCTCTAGGCTGAATATGTGTCTATCATGCCTGAACTTCTTCCTTAGTCTAGCAGTCTTGTTAGTATTGTACTGGCCAGAAATGGTCTTAGGATCTTCAAGCTCGTATAAAATTTTCTCCATTTGTCTGACTTTGCCTAGGTGACAAATGCAAAATTGAAGATTTCAAAGACAAATAAGTGTCACCTTAGACTAATGCTAGAGCTGATGTTTTGCTCACCTCTTGCTCTGAGTTTTCTTCGTATCAGACAGAATAAGGAGCAAATAAACGCAAATACCATTAGGGACACTGCTATTGTCAACCATATCCACCATTTCCGCTTCCTATCTGTCAAAATTGTAAGTCAGTGTTTATGACCAAAATTCCACATATTTACCTTGGGAATACACTATGATGCTATCATAATTGTCGGTACTCTAGAAATACCAAAAAATAATAATTTAATAGCCTCCAAAACAAGATTCTGTAAGGTATGGTTGTTCATTTGCTCGAGTGTATTTTTGAAATGAAGATGACACTCTTATTAACTCAAATCCTGCAGCATTGCGATCGGAGAAAATTTCTTGTTCTAGTACTAGTAATTTTTGGAATGACATGCAAATGAGAGTAATGCAGATTGGTGACATTAGTGTGATGCCCTCACAAAACAATTTATCTTGAGCTGGATAAAGTAATCATAATATGAGATGCAACATTATTAACATGTCTTTTGATCTTTCACTCTATTGAATAACTTTGTACTCAAGAATTACCTTTTCTTGTAAGAAAGAAAACATCTCTGGCTAGACTGTTTTGTGCTGTCACAAAACTCGTGTCATTCCCCCAAATTTGACAGCCAATTCCGGTGTCACTATCGACTGAGGCATAGGCAACACACGAGCAATCATTCACACACTTGGCCTTGCAATCTGAGAGGCTCAAGGTATAGTTCTCATCAAATTTAACGCTGTCTCCAAACATGTAAACTTGTCTAAGCTCAAACCAGTACTTTTTAGCTGCCCTGCACTGGGGCAATACCTGCTTTACGCAGCCAGCATGGGGAGTCTCATTACTACAATTACCAAACACTGCATTTCCTTTAAAAGTATCCTGAATTATTCCAAATGGACTCACAGAGTATCTTTGATATTCAAATTCAACAGTATACATAAAGTATTTCTCATCCTCATTTGAGACATATTTAAGAGCGAGATGGCCAGTAGGCCACGGGCCACTCTTCCAATAGACCTTGCCCATTCACAAGATCATCAGCTGATTTGTACCATTAGGGTCAAGACCAAAGGTAAAAGACCCTGAAGCAGGTGCTTGATCATTTACCCATGAAGTCAATGACCATTTATGCCCCGTTCGCAAGTTAATCCCAAGCTTCATTCCAGGCAGTAGTGTATCAGTTGGATAATCAAAGCTTTGCCATAGCGTTCGATTTACAGAGCTATTGGTATTCAGTTCCCTCAGCACAAAATTCCCATTATCGAGTAGTATAGCAGTTAAGTTAGTGGCTGTTGTTGGTGTAGCACTGAACAAAGTAACATTACCTTCTTTATGAGAAATTATTAATCTGCCATCAGGAGCTATCATAAGACTTCCAGATGTATCGGTTATCGGATCGTCTCTGTTAGCTATCCACAAAGCCTTTTCATCTCCTCCTCCATTAACATCAGAGTACAAATCAAGACTAGGCCGAGTGGAAAATATACCCAAGTAGCGGTTCCTTGACTTGCCTGGACTGAAAAATTGCATTTTGAAGAAGCCATTTGCTGAGACCAGCTGTTGGTAATCAGCTAAACTTTCTCCCTTCAATATTGAGTTGAAATCTGCACGCAAAAAGTGACAGGATAACACGAGGATGAAAGCAATCAGAATTCTGTAGGTAGCCATATGAGAGAAGCTCTCTAATCCACACATGAATGTTTACAGTCAAAATAGAATGACCAAAACAGAGACAAGCATGCTGTTGGCTTTGATTTCTTTTGTTGACCAGGTTTTTTTCTATTTGCTTTAAATTTCAAACCTGTCACCCTCTTTTAAGTGGAAACTTCTTGTATTATTGATTACTAAGAATTTTTAACAGTTGACTGGGTCATTCTGCTGTTTTGGATTACTCCAAATATACCACTTTTTATGATTTAGTTTTACATACAAGAGAAGGATCTATCGGAAACATCTTCTCCATCTCTATGACGTAGGGTAAAATCTGCATATACTCTACCCTCTCCAGATCGCACTTGGGGATATTTTTCAGGTCAAAACTATCAGCTTGGGCTCTTACCCTCTTGTTAAAGAAAAGAAAGTCTCTCTCAAGTTATTTTTCAGCCCAACTTTACAGTCCTCATATAACTTACTTCGTAGCTGGTTATCAATTGCAAAATTTTCTGATTGATTTTCAACTTTCGATCATTAAGAAATGACATGCAAAATTAACAAATGATAAAATATTCTTAAAATGGACGTTCAATTTGCCAACTCTGCTAACCTTGATTGTTACACGTGGTATAATAGTGGATTTCCTAAGAAAGAGGTGGTTGGCCGTTTCATTTAGTAGAGGCCTCTACCAACAAAATACCATTGGTGGCACTAAAAGAAAATCAGGTTGCAATGTCGCACATTTTCAAGATTCAAGGCCTCATCTCTTTAACTACCAAACAGAAAGGTGCAATGCATTTTTTTATATCACACATATTTAAGCAGAGGTCTATTTTTGTATTACAGAGATATTCAAGGAGATGTCGTTTCTTATACTAGCAAAATTGGGAAAACACATATTGATTGCTGTCCAGAAGAGAAAAAATATTAAATAGATTTGAAGGAGGAAATAAGGTATTTGTGGGTGGGATCTTGGGGATGAAGGGGGCATGGAATTTTGGCCAGAGTTTCTTGCAAGTAGTTGGGGAAAAGAGTTTGTGGCTGGTGGATTTGGGGGAATAGCTGGTCTCATTTCTGGTTATCCACTCGACAGCATCAGAGTTCGCCAGCAAAATACCAAGAGTGGTTCTGCTTTCAACGTTTTCCGCCATGTAGTCGCCAAAGAAGGTCCCCTGTCTCTCTACAGGGGCATGGCGGCTCCTCTAGCATCCGTCACTTTTCAGGTCATTGTTGTATTCCTCCATTTACACAACTTCTGTTATAGAATATGGATATGATTTTCTGTTATCGCGATGATTTATGAGATTAAATATATAAATGTACACTTGATTTGAAGGAATCATAAGGCAAAAACAAAGTAGATTCCTACTTTTGGCAAATATTGTATCAAATCAAAGTTTCAAAGTTCATTCCTACAATATCAAAACACTAGTTTGCTCCCTATTGCAGAATGCCATGGTATTTCAGATCTACGCAATGCTATCGCGAACATTTGACAGACAGATCTTAGCAAGCGATCCACCCTCATACAAAGGAGTGGCTTTGGGTGGCATTGCAGCAGGAGCAATTCAGAGCCTAATTATCAGCCCTGTAGAACTGGTGAAAATCCAACTACAATTGCAAAGCAAGACCAATCAAGTAACTAGACTCAAGGGTCCAAGAGATGTCACAAGAAGAATTGTCAGACAGGCAGGTTTGAGAGGAATCTACCGAGGATTAACTGTTACTGTCCTCAGAGATGCACACTCTCACGGTCTATATTTCTGGGTATATGAGTATACTAAGGAGCAACTTCATCCTGGCTGTCGCAAGAATGGCCACGAGAGCTTCCAAACAATGCTCGTAGCAGGTGGTCTTGCAGGGTCTGTTAGCTGGATAAGCTGCTACCCCTTAGATGTTGTTAAGACCAGACTCCAAGCTCAATCACAGTCTAAAACTGCAAAATACCATGGTATTGTTGATTGCTTCAGGCAAAGTGTAAGAACAGAGGGATATGGTGTGCTTTGGCGAGGCGTGGGAACTACAGTTGGCAGAGCATTCATAGTGAATGGGGCTATATTCACTGCCTATGAAACTGCACTGAGGTTCCTTTGCAAGCCACAATGACAATGATCATACAAATGTCCAATCTGAAAATGCAATTATAAAACAGGACTAAAGAACTTCTTTAATATGCATCATGTTGTTGAAAGAGAAAACATCCTGAGTAGGGCTCTGAAATACTGATCATTCGTTCATTATGATAGCAATTATTTAGCCAATACATCCAGATGCAAGAATTGACCGGATTCGATTTGATCATCCGTCGTCTCTATATTCATTACAACACACAACTATAAACATGTAAACAATAACTAAAACAAATTGATTAACATGTCTTCACAATATTGTAATATCCAGCAACACACAACTATAAACATGTAAACAATAACTAAAACAAATTGATCAACATGCCTTCACAATATTGTAATATCCAGAGTCATTTCAAGTCAATGTTGCCATTTTCTTCTGATGCCACAAGCATGTAAACAAGCGTAAAACACGGTATGTTAAACTCATCATCAAGTTATTGCAAAAGCAAAACCAAGAAAAGATATTGTTCACAAAAGCTGAACTGCAAAATACATGATACTATGATCAACAACAGACTCAACTTGATCTCATCAGTAGGTCTCATCACTAACAAATCGCTCGACCCTGTTTTCGTTCAGATTTAGACCGCCCATTGCTTCCTCCAAACCACTGCTAGCCGCGGCCAAAATATGGGGATCGTTATAGTTCCTGACAGCCTGCACAATTGCCCTAACTTTCTTGTAAGGATTAGAGCAATTGAATATATCCGAACCAATAAACACACCATCACAACCCAGCTGCATCATGAACGCTGCATCTGCAGGCGTGACGATTCCACCAGCAGCAAAATGAACCACAGGGAGCCTACCCATCTGCTTCGTCTGTGCAACAATATCATAAGGTGCACCGATCTTCTTTGAGAAAGTGAAGACCTCATCATCATCCATGTTTGATAGAATTCTAATATCTCCCATCACTTTCCTCACATTGTGGACTGTATCAACAATACTGCCCGTACCCGCTAGATCCCCTTGGGTCCTAACCATGGCAGCGCCTTCTCTGACTCTCCTTAACGCTTCTCCAAGATCTCGACATCCACAGACAAAGGGTGCCCGGAAATTATGTTTGTTGACGAAATGATCTTCGTCTGCTAGTGCTAAAGTTTCGCTCTCATCTATATAATCAACTCCAATAGCTTCAAGGATCTGGGCTTCAACAAAATGACCGACACGGGCTTTCGCCATTACAGGAAGCGCAACTGCCTGCTTGATCTCCTTGATTAGAGACGGGTCGGGCATACGCGAGATTCCGGGTCCTTTAGGCTCCGAAACTACAAGACAACAAACTCCGGCCGACTCGGCAATCTTCGCTTGGTTGACGGTGGTAACCTCCGCAATCGCTCCTCCTCTAAGCATTTGAGCAATTCCAACTTTGATCGAGAACGTATTCTTCTTGGTATCAGTAATGGCGCTGCCACTGTACACTGTAACGGCACCGTCTTCTTCCATTTGCAAAAACTGTTTGTGAAAATGCCTGAACCAAAAGTAGATAACAATTTCTCAAAACAGTAAAACTACGCCGGCGAGATTGGAATATGTTGGTGGAGAAATGATGGTGAAGAATGATATAAAGAAAAGTCCGGTGGGAGAATAGGAATGGGGCGGTGAGATTTAGTTTGTTCTAGAAACTGCTAGTAGGTGTCTGCGTGTTTTGGTCGAAAATGTAAGAAAGTTCGGATGGTTTCGATTCCACCGTATCAAATCTAGGCTTCTTTTACTTATTATTATTTCCGTAATGTCTGCCTCTGGGGTTGGCTCAACATAATTCATACTCCGTTAGTCTATTTTTAAGTGTTCAATATTAATTTGATATATTTTTAAAAAGGATAAATTGAATAAGTATCATTTTGTTTCATTACTTTTGGAATATAATAAATTCAAATGTTTTAGAAATTGACTATAGTTAATATTCTTTCCGTCTCAGAAAGAATGGTCAAATTTGATTGGCACGAAATTTTAAAAAAATAAATATGAAAGACTTTTCAATCTTGTAGTTTAAAATTAAAGTTATGTTAAATATAATAAAATGTCTTTTAATTTTGTGGTCTTAAACATGTTACGTAAAACTGAAATTAAAGTGTATAAAAAAGAAAAGGTTCATTTTTTTAAAACAAACTAAAAAAAAAGTAGGTCTTTTTTTTAATCAAAGGGAATCACAAAGATAAATTAGAAACTATTCCTAAATAATAAATTATCTTTTGAATTACTAAATTGGAGGAACAAAAGTAGACATCTATTTATAATATGTGATAGACGGACATAATATAAATTAAGTAAACAAGATTGGTGTATCTTATGATAAGGTAGAATTAAATGAGTGATAAGATATTTAGTTAAAACGACAATTAAATTCGAGCAGCAACAACTTTATAATAATAATATATAAGTGCAACTTTTACAAATAAGATTTTAGAAAGATATTGTATACACAATAGTTATTCTTACCTTACGAAGGTAAAAGAAATTCAATAGACTCTCGACCAGGGGCGACTCAACGCAATCAGAGGCCTAAAACGAAATTTCAATTAGAGGTTAAAAATCTAAATAAACTTCATATGCATTAAAATTTAAAAAAAAAAAACTTACATTTTTAAATGCAAAGTATACTTAATATTTTTTATAAATGATTTATTCGATTCCTTTTTCAATTATTAGCTTTAGATAAAATTTTATCAATTCAACGTTGAAAAACATTTTCTTACTCGGACAATTATTATATGAATTGTTAACAGAGAATTTGATTCATAAGTTGATAATTTTGTATACCCCACATTTTACTATGCTTGTTGTAATGCTTAAAAATCTAAGAAGAATAGAAAAGAATTTACAATTCACTTTGTTCAACACTTTTCGACTATTGGTTCATATTTTTGATAGAATATTACTCTAACTTATCAAAAATTTAAAGAAGAGAGTGTAAAAGGAGTTAAAAAGAATAAAATAATGTGAATATTAGCATAGAGAATGTAAGAAAATAAAACAATTTTTTTGATTTCTTCTATTTAAATGAGATTACAGAGAATAAAATAATATTTGTTTTTAAAAATATATATTTTATCATAAATAATTAATCTTTTCTATAAAAAAAATCAACACATAATTTATTATTGTTAAATAATTGAGGCCCCCTAAAATTTGGGCCTAAGGCCAATGCCTTATTCAAAGAAGCATAGAGCCGGCCCTGCTCTCGACTCAAAATATTAGTAACTTATCTTTTCAAAAGATATTTATCGAAATAATGAAAGTATATATGAGTAACACTTATATGAGCATCAAAGGGTGTGGATATGGGATTAGAGCCATCAATGAAATCTCGAATTTGAATTCAAGTATAAACATATTAATTGATCTAAAAATCATGATTATCAAAAAATTAAAGTAACATTTCTATAATTATATTTTCTTTTATTCTATTGTTTTTATTGAAGACACTAATTGTTGTTTTCTTTTGATTTTAGATTTGTTCACTACGTATTTTTTGCACTAAAAATTTCATCTTAGTGGTCCCAAGGTCAACTGATAATTGCTTTGAATTTTGTACCGTCAAAATTTTAAAGTATATAGAAGATCAGAGTATAAACTCAAATTTATATCGTCTCTTCAAACTCCATTTATAAATTACATATATACTCTGCTCTTTTCGGACTCCATTCGTAGATTACAATAATGTTGTAGTATATTATATTACTACAGTTTGTCGCAGTTATTGTTACTACAGTTTTACCCGATGATTCAGCCATTTGAATCAAATAAAAATAAACTGTGATCACTTATGGACCTCAAATTACTGTCAAATTTTGACTTTGACACACCTATTAAGAAAACAATAATTAATATAATAAATTACTATTTTACCCCTCTTAATTAATAGAATCCCAAACATATTTAAGCACTTCATTTTTCGAAGACATTAACTCAATGTTAATAAATTGAAGGTCTAATAGAGCAATTTTTTATTATTATTTCTTGATTTGTCAAAACTGACAAGTAAAAAGAAATCAAATTAGGAAATATTAGATAAGTAAATCCGAACGGAGGGAGTAGTTCTTTCCAAAAGGGAATGACGAGATTGCTTTAGTTAGTTCATAAACGAGAATGAATAAATAAGATTTTGAATTAACTTGGGCATTATAAGAAGTGCCCTAATCTAGTATACAATGACTCATTCCACATCCTAAACTTGAAAACCAAAACTTCCACATCTAAACCAAAAACAAAAAATGGCATACAAATACAAAGCCCAAAATTTTCATTTCTAACTAAAACCAAAAAAATGAGACTGCTTAGGCAAGCTGGTAGTAACTCAGACCATCTTCTAAGACAGAATTAATGTGCTTACCATGTAGGTCCAATGAACGGTTCACGGTTGAGTAAGCATCATTGTCTGAAGCTTGATTTTGCAATAGTGGATGAATTGTGAGCCTCAATTATTCTCCCACCCAGATACGTGCATCTGTCTCCGGTATAAGACAATAGTGTGGAACTGGTAGTCTTCACGTCACTTAACTCTGGGAAGCATAATCAAATTGTTACAACCAGATTTCCAACGTAGTCCTGCAATACGTCACTAGAACATGTTCACAGTGGTTTCAATGACACCAACAGAAAGATTCAGGAAGCATCGAGATTGGCCAAACAACTGGACAGGAGGCAAATAAAATCATATGTAAGCTATTGAAATATCCTGAAACTAGTGAGCATTCTCAAGATTGAGGTTTCTAAAGCTATAGTACTTCATAAAAGCAAATGTCATAAACATCCTACACTAGTTGACGAACAAAAGCAAAAATCCTAGAATATAGAAAGAGCTTACCAAAGAGCAACAACGCAAAGAGAACTGTCACTTTGCATCACTTGCAGAACACAAATATCGGAGCATATATTCATTAGAGTTGCATGTATCAGCCAAATCTTGATGCAACCTGGTAATTGCCTTCTGTAAGGATTTTAGAGCAGGAAGCAAGCTTCTGGATTTCTGCTGAATAGAATTGCCGTGGATTTTGCAAAGTTCCTACCAGACATGCAAATGGATTAAAAGCTGACAAATGTGTACAACACTTGTCAAGGTAAGAAAGAGCAAAGAGGAGTTTGTATTTGATAGGAAACCTGACACCATCTGAGGATAAACTCCATGTGTGGGCAGTTCTCCAGCAGAGATGCTAATGCCTCA